GTTTTTTGTGGTTCCCCGCAGCACTTTATATAATGTTTAGTCACTCCACTTCACCCTGTTTCTCTTATTTATTTATACATTCTTGCAGGGTTTCAGGGATTGTAAGTAGCACTTTTGTTGCAGTTACTTTAGTCTTACTTTGGCACTTCTTTCTTCAGAGTTTTTGTTCTGGCAAATTCTCCTGATTTTCCAGTAAAGTATTCTTGCTTGCTATTTTTGCTTTCAGTCTTTTTGTTGCTTTTGGGATTGTCCTTGAGGGACAGAAGGACAAAACCCTGAATGAAATAGTTTCCAAAGGGCCATAAAATCGCAAGCCTACCAATTCAGATTTTATGGCAACTGGTGGGAAACTATAAACAGGAGAAACTGGGCAGCTGTTCAACACCAAATGAGCAGAATACAGGAATGCATTTAAAAACGCAAAATATCAAAGCAAATTAAGTTACTGAACACTAGAAAAGGGCTGCTGCTGTTGTTCACACTTGATACTTACTTTTCACATAATGACAGCCACATTAAGCCTGCTCAGTCCTATGTACATATGCAGTATATTGTGTATTTACACAGGCATACCAATCAGTAAATTGATTACCTTTTTCCCTGTTGCTACTTCCCATCTCTATCTTGTTCTAATCTAGACCACCCCTTGAAATCTAATTTCCTTGCAGAAGAGATCCACATCATGATCTTCCTGCTGGATCTAATGGAACAGGCAGATGTGGCTGGGGAAGCAGTCCCTCAGAGAAACTAGCCCCATGCCATGAAGGGCTTTAAAGATTAAGATACTGGCCCTTTGCAGCAAACATTTCTCCTTTATGGTCTTGTCTTCCACTAACATTCTTCCTCCTGAAACGAGACTAGCTCTAACCCTGCTGGCTGTGGCATCAAGCCTGGGAATGCCAGGGGACTAAAACCCTGAGACAGCTCCACCATGAACAACTCTCTCTTGCATTATGTCATTGTTTACATTTAATATCGATTTTAATTAATTGCTATACAGTGCTCAGAATCACTTTTTGTGAGAGGGGCAGCTGTATAAATTTGATAAATACACAGATACATTTTTGGTCATGTGGCTATAACTACCTCAATATTATCCATGGATTAAACACAATATAACAGAATAACAGCGTTGGAAGGGACCTTGGAGGTCTTCTAGTCCAACCCCCTGCTTAGGCAGGAAACCCTACACCACTTCAGTCAAAGGGTTATCCAACATTTTTTTAAAAACCTCCAGTGTTGGAGCATTCACAACTTCCAGAGGCAAGTCGTTCCACTGAATAATTGTTCTAACTGTCAGGAAATTTCTCCTTACCTAATTATACCATTTGCACTTACTGAATTGTCACAATTTTTAAGACAATCACACATTTCCTTCCACGCAAAAGATTTATTGAGATGAAATCAATTATAATTATATTTGGGTGAGAGATTATTAGACTTGGGCCCTGTATCATTGGTATCTAATGCCCATAAAATTGTCAAAGATATAATAATGAGTTTCAAATGCATGCTGGAAATGCCAAGAGTAAAGGCAGTAAGAAATATTGGGGTCAGATTTTTTTTATCTTAATTCAGAAGAAAGTATGGATAGCTGGCTAAGATGGCAAAATTGACTATTTTAATGAAAGAGCAGAATTTACCTAGTTTTATTTCTGCTTGGAACTTTGATTTTAGATTTTTAAGACTAGAATGGTTTTATTGTAATAGAAAGAGTTTGAAATACTCAGAAATGTGAAGCAAAAGGTTGAGGCCAAAACTGTTTTTGTACTGTATTGCTGAAGTCACTACTTTTTTTCCTTTTCTATTTTTTCCTCTACAACTGCTTTCCTCTTTAATTTTTCTATTTTTCGTTTTTATTTCTAGAACAAACTTTAATAAAATATTAAACAAGAAAAGCACATTTCCCTCCTTGCTGGCAATGTATAGTACAATTACTATAGTACATGAGTGTAATTACTCATGTTTTCATTGGCCTGAAATTTTCAAAAATGGTATAAAAAGCTTAACAGATATAATTTCCTATTTATTCCTCAACTGTTTTGTATCAGAGTACACGGAACAGGACATAGTTAATCCTAAGTAGCTTTACATGAACTCTTACATTTATTTAATTTGGAATGGGGAATAAAAGCTCAATATTAAGTTTGGCATGAACCCAACCCTGGAAACAGGATATGCATCCAAATTAGATTGAAGCCTTGAATTTTCAGACACATCTTGATGTATCAGGGGGAAAGACATTGTGCCCACCTGCTGCAGCTCTGCCACATCACATCACATGGCATCACATTGCCAGATTTTTGTGAACATTTATTATGAGAAAATAGGGAACCTCACTTTCAGCTTCTCTCCTATTCCTCTCATTTCATTAATTTTGACTAAACACTAAAATCCACAAAATGATAATGTCATAGTAACAAGGTCATGCTCAGTTTTGAGAGATAACCCTAGACCTCAAGTAAAAGCAATTAGGAAAGATTCATACCACTATTGTTTGCTACTAAGCTAGTTTTAAATTTGTGCAATCCTAAAAAAAATTAAACTAATAATTAAACATTAAAAGAATGTTATGAATTCTAGCATCTTTTATCTTTACTGTGGAAGGTAGGAAATACATCTTCCAGCTTCCAGAGGAAGTTGAACAGAGACTTTTTGATAGCCAAAAGAAAGGTAAAGGAGCAGAATATATATTCAGATGGAATGACACATCCAAAAGAAGCTGATGGATACTTCCAAAAGAACTACATAAGGAAGAAGTCACCAGGAGTTCCGGTTTGTAGCGCTTCGGGGCAGGCAGGAATCCACGATCGTGCGCGGTTTTTGCCTGTGCTCGCCGCTGGAGTGCCCCGAGCCACCCGGCTTCGGGGCTAAGCCACCCTGTACAGGTGGTGAAGATAGGGTAGATCTGGAAGGGTCGAGAGGAATCGCACCTCTCCTCCCCAGCCGGCTAAACTCCCTTTTCCGAAGGCGGTAAGAACGGCAGTCAGAAATGGCCGCCTCAAAGAAGCATTCAGCCAGAAAAGAAAGTGCAGGAGGAAGTTAAGAAGTGAAAGTTTTTGGCTGACTGGGACAAAAAGCAACAACTAAGGTACCCTGGAATTTAAATTTTGTAAAAGATACATCGCTCCCTAAGAAGACTCGGAAGCGGCAAATGAAAGTTAAAAGGAAAAGTTTTTTTTTTTCACTCTTCTTCCTCACGTTGACAGCGAACTTATGAGAAATGGGAAAAACCCGCTTTGGCATTAAGAGGTATTTAAACTGGATAATTAAATGTCAAGGGGACAATAAGGATTTCTGAACATTAAAAAAAAAATTCTTTTCTTGCTTTAAGTGGGAAGGGAGAGGAAAAGAATAAAAGTAAGATTAGGAAGGAGGAGACTGCCTGGAATTTACAAGAATCTGATTAAATCCTAACAAGACTTCTAAAAGATACATCTTAACTGGAACTTTGTAACTAAATAGCAACCCCAGGAAGAGAAAGTGAAAAAAGAAGAAAGTGCTAAAAGAAACAGCTTGTGTGTATTTGGATTGCTTGGTGACTTTGGGACTCTTGGAAATTATATCTAAATGATTAAAAACACTTGGGTGGTTGTTTGAAAAAAAAATTTTTTTTACAATGGCATTGCTTGTGGATGAACTGAAAATGGAATTTAAAAAATATAAAGAGGAACAAGAAGGGAAGGGCTCTCTTGGCTCTGTTTTTCACTTCTTAGAAATGACGATTTGTACCTATGAGAAACTGACTGCGCAACAAGAAGATTGGGACAAAGAAGAAGCCATCTTTGATGAACAAGTAACTTTAATTAGGGAAGAAGGGGGAAATGGGGGAAAGAGAATGGAGACTTTAAGACCCCAAAAAACAACCAAAAAAGGGAAAAATAAGGTGCAAAGTGGATATAAGGTTGGAAAGCAACAGAAAAAAGGAACACAGAAGAGGGAAATGGAGGTGGAGAGACAAGGGAGTAAAAAGGGCAGAGAGAAAAAGCAAGGGAGGAAGGAAGGGAAGAGAAGCTACAAAGGTGTGAAACAAGATGTAAAGAAACAGGACTTATTTAGAGATAATGGGTAAAAATCTAACTGAAAAGGTGATTCTGCAAAGGTACATAAGATTGTATTGTTATATTTGTATTAGAAATTATGTTAGAAAATTGGAAATAACATAAGATTAAAAAGTGGGATAAAATACTCAGTGTAACTCAGTGAAACTTTTATGAACAAAATAAATGAAATGAAATAAATGAGAGAATTGAATTAGGAAGGAATGGGAACATCTCAATGATATAATGTTTTAAAATAAGCAACTATGGAAAGTTTATAAGTGTTCCCACAGAAGTATGATACTTATATGAAAAGTAATGTGTAAAATGTTTAAGATTTAAATGAATATTAATATTAACAATAGAGTTGAATTGACATGGATTTGTGGTTTTAATTATATTATATATTTACAATTTTTACTCTTTTTAAAATATAGTGTGTAAAATATAGAATGTACTAAGCAGAATCCGAATGGAAGTTATGTATTATATTAAGTGTTATAAATTTAAGGGAAAGATATAAAGGCGTCATACTCCAATCAGTGATTACAGGAGAAATTTTGTTTAATGAGAAAAAATAATAGACAGCTGGAAACAGGACAGACAAAGAATATAAGTATAATGATCTAAACTGAGATGAAATAAATAAAATTAAATTAAGAAATTTAAAAGAGGGGAGAAGCTATATAGAAAATGTAGAATGGTAACAAGATATGGAATGGTATATAAAATGAACATGAATTTGAATTTGTGTCTGTACGAAGAGATGTAACCCGGGATCAAGCTGCTTTCAAAAAAGATTTTTTATGTTTTTATGTTTTATGTGTTGTTTGTTTATGTTTGTTTTTAAAAATCAATAAAAAAAATTTCAAAAAAAAAGGGAAGAAGTCACCAAATGTTTATATCCAAACATGGTATATTTTCAGGTCAAAAGAAGACTTCAGGGCATACCATTTTACAAAAGAGAAGAAAAAAAGAAATAGTAACATATATATTGATAGCAATAGTAGTAATACAACAGAATAATTCTAATCATATTTATAATTATGTTAGCTTATTTGTAATCCTATTGATTATATTAGCATACTTATAGTTATAAACAAGTCACCAAATGTTTACATCCTAACATGATATATTTTCAGGCCAAAAGAAGACTTCAGCATTAATCAATACATCTAGGCCTTAGTTATTTTGATGATTCTAGCTCAATATAAACAAGAGAATTTTTATATGATTTGATTTGATTTACAGGGCTGCCTATTCGCCTGTTCCAAAATGTGGTACTATAATTTGTTAACAATTCTTTCAATTTCTACGGTTAATAATATGATAAATGGGAGTCAGAGGAATTTCTGTAGTAAGAAAAGCATATGAATTAGTTCACCCATTGAGTCTTGTAAACTATCATTTAATAATGCTTCTTTTGACTTTACAAAGTTTTACAGGTCCATATTCTTCACTCCTAACAACTTCTTGTCCACTTACTAGCAATATATTATAGGATCCTGGAAGTAGAGTTAGAGGAAGATTGGCCCTTAATTTAGAAAGTTGATCTTTGATTTAGAAGATATATTATCCTATTATTCAGTTCATTATTATATCAAATGTAATAAAAAAAATCTCTGTAAGTATATTAGTGAACACCTCGTATCCATACATTTGTAGAAAAGCTAACTATAGCACCACTTATGATAACTATTGAGCTTCATCCTTTTAATGAGAGAACTGTACTGATCTTTCATCAAGTATTTTTTATGACCATGCTATCCAAAGTTATAGAATAAAGACTATACTAGAACAGAACAGAACAGAACAGAACAGACCTGAAAGGGACTTCAGAGGTCTTCTAATCCAGCCCCCTGCTGAAGCAGGAGAATCTATACCGTTTCAGACAAGTGACTGTCTAGTCTCTTCTTAAAAACCTCCAATGATGGAACACCCACAATTTCTGAAGGCAAGCTGTTCCACTGGTTAATTATCCTCATGTGTTAGGAACTTTCTCCTTAATTGGCAGCTATTGACTTCTATCATGTCAACCTCTAATTTTTCTTTTTTTTTAAACTAGCCAAACCCAAATCCTGCAACCATTCTTCATATGTTTTAGTCTCCAGGCTTTTGATCATCTTAGTTGATCTTCTCTGAACTTTTTCCAAAGTCTTTTTTGTAGTATGGTGATCAAAATTGGTATTCCAGGTGTGTGGTCTTACTAGGGTTTTATAAAATAGTACTAGTACTTCACTGATCTTGATTCTCTGCATCTATTTATACAACCCATGATTGTATTAGCATTTTTGGCTGTTGCTACACACTACAGGCTCATAATTCAAGTGATTGTCCACTAGGACTCCAAAATCCCTTTCACACTTACTGTTTTGGAGCCAGGTCTCACCTAATCTGTACTTATACCTTTGGTTTTTCCTGCCTAAATGTAAAACTTTGCTTTTCTCCACATTAAAATTCATTTTGTTGGATAAGACGCATTGTACAAGTTTGTTAAGATCTTTTTGGATCCTGAGTTTGTCTTCAGTGTGTTGGCTATTCCTACCAGTTTAGTGTCATCTGCAAATGTGATGATTTCCCATTCTATTCCCCCCATCTAAGTCATTTATGAAGTTATTGAAGAGTACTGGGCCTAAGACAGAGCTTTGATATACCCCACTGTTTACTTTTCTCCATGTGGATGTAGTACCATTAAGGACTACTCATTGAGTATGGTTTGTCAACCAGCTACAAATCTATCTGGCGATGATGTTATCTATTCCACATTTTTCTAGCTTACCAAAAAGTAGGTTGTCTACTTTGCCAAATGCCTTATTGAAATCTAAGTATACTATGTCCACAGCATTTAGCATTTTGGCAACATTTAACATTTTAACAACATCTGTATTTAATAGTAGATAAAGACCATAAAGGATCTAGTCAAATTTTAAAGGTGAATAGTTTTTTTAACTTTATCATCTTTATCAAATGCATGAAATGTACTCCACAGCTGATAGATTTGCAATGGATTCACTCAGAATTATATAGTTATTTAATGATAGTCCCATTTCTATACAAAGCTCAAATGTACACAGCAGATTCAATGACCAATGAATACTTGGTTATAAAAACTTTTTCTGCTAACAGTTAAGAATATTTCAACATGAAATAATGATGTATAAATTTAATCAATTAGCCTAAATCATAACCAATTAAATTATTATAGTAAATCTAAGAAGTTCAGTGAATGGTTACTGGATTGCTTTTAGCGTATTTCTGAACTTGAGAAATTTCAGGCCCTGTATTTATTGGCTTTATAATGTTTCTCAGCTGTGATAAAGGTTATACTGAAACAAACTAGAATCAGATATTAATATAATAATATAAAATTATGTACATTTTTTCATAAAGAAAAATCAAATGTAAATGTTTTTCTTAAGGGCTACAGATTAAATCAAGAACAACCAAACTCTTTGTAAGACTCTGGCTTACTAGAGTGGTGGGCTCAGTTCCTGACCAATAAATAGGGAAATACTAATTTATGCAATTCCCTTTTTTCCTCTAAGATGGAACAATACACTATGTCTAAAATTTAAAACTGGATTGCTTTAACAGAGCACTATTATGCCACATCTATTTCAGCTCTGAATAGAACGATTTTCTAAGCAAGTATTGGATTGATACACGCATAAATACACACAAATACACATGCTTATGACTTAAGGTATAGAGAATTGTAGATCAATATAAATTTGATCAGCATTACCAATGCTTTATTAAATATTTTCTTCACATCTTATGAAAGGAATTTATTTAAAAGGCAGCTTTGTAAAAAATTTAAAACTTTTAAAATGTTATCGGATTGAAGACTCTGAATAATGTTTTCTAAATAATAGATCCATATTTTTTTTAAGTGAGGGGAAGAGAAAATTTTGGCACAAGATGTTTGGGTAACTACAATATAAAAGACAATATTAAAATATTTTAATAGGTAAGTAATATGTCACCCATTAAACCTAAAATTTCAGGCATGGGACCAGCTGTTTTACACCTAAACAGCATGAATATTAACTGATAATCCCCAGCTTTTCAGTGTTTGCTGAGGGAGGACAGAGATACCGTTAAATGCTACTACAGGTAGTCCTTGACTTACAACAGTTCATTAAGTGACCGTTCAAATTCACAACTGTACAGAAAAAAACGGACTTATGACCGTTTTTCACAGTTACGACCCCAAGGTCAAGTGATCCAAATTCAGACCCTTGGCAAATAACTCATATTTATGACGGTCGCAGTGTCCCTTGGTCATGTTATCCCCTTTTGCAACCTTCTGACAAGCAAACTCAATGGGGAAGCCAGATTCACTTACCAACCAGATGACTAACTTATCAACTGCAGTGATTCACTTAACAACTGAGGCAAGGAAGGTGGTAAAATGGGGTAAAACTCACTTAACAAACATCTCGCTTAACAACAGAAATGTTGGGGTCAATTGTGGTCGTAAGTCAAGGACTACCTGTATTGCAAATCAGCTCTAACCATAGTTGCTTCTGACAGGTTCTTAGCCAATGGCAACTGCCTCAGCTTATACTTTTCTATGCATCTAGGAGCTAGGTTAAGTCATGTCAGTCTTCCTGAATAGATCTGAGGGAATCAGATTGATTTGTGTACTGTGCTTTTCTTGAACTATATTAATAAATAACAATGTTTCTGTTGAGATGGATAGAGTAGAGTAGGGTAGAGTAGCATAGCGTAGAATAGAATAGAATAGAATAGAATAGAATAGAATAGGCCCATGGGTTACTGATAAGTTTTCACATATTTATGTCATTCTCATTAACATAGATGCTGAAGTATTTTTTGTTATTTATTTGTATCCCACCTTTATTATTTTTACAAATAACTCAAGACAACATATCTATCCAACACACCTTTCTCCTCCTATTATCCCCACAACAGCAACAATGTGTGATGGGTTGGGGTGAAAGAGACTGACTGGCCTCTAAGGTCACCTAGCCAGCTTTCATTGCCAAAGCAGGACTAGAACTCAGTCTCTCACAGTAGTACCTTAGCAGAAAAGGGCAGATCTGCTTGTAGACTTCTCTGCATCAGGAGTTAAAATTGCTTCACTACCCATGACCCTAATGTGTGGAGGAAACAAAATGCTTTGACCCAATCCAACTGCAATAGTTTTTCATTTGACTTCTAACAATAAAGAACTAGTTGGAGGCAGTTCTTCATCTTAACAATTAGCCTGGACTTTGAGGAATTTGCCCTTACATCAAGAGTCTGGATGAAGATCACTACAAATCCCTGGGCATCCTTCAAGCTAACAATTTCAAATATGCTTAATTCAAGAAGAAGGTTATTAGTCAATACATCATGTTCAGGTGATCTAAGAGTCTAAACTCAGTGGAGAAAATACCATCAAAGTAATTAACAACTTGGCAATTCCAGTAATTAGATACACAGCTAGAGTAATGAACTGGACTCAAGCTAAACTAGAAGCCCTGGATAGGAAAACTAGAGAAATAATGAAAATAATTTAGGCCTTTTGTTCATACAGTGATGTTGACAGAGTTTACTTATTACCAAGGAGTATAGGACAGTGGTGGGATTCAAAAAAAATTTACTACCAGTTCTGTGGGCGTGGCTTGGTGGGCATGGCATGGCATGGCTTTGAGGGGTGGCTTGGTGAGCCATTCCCTCCCCACCCCACTAATCTGCTTTCCAGCTCTGTTCTCCTGTGCAGGGCAACAAAAGAAGACCCAGCCGATCAGCTGGGACTTGGGAGGCAGAGAATAGAAGGGGGCAGGGCCAGTCAGAGGTGATATTTGCCAGTTCTCCAAACTACTCAAAATTTCTGCTACCGGCTCTTCAGAACGGGTCAGGACCTGCTGAATACCACCTCTGGTATAGGTGGGCATGAAATTTTGCAAGTGCATCTTGAAGAAGAAGAAAGACATTGGAAGAATATCTGAAGGACACTGAAGAAGATTCGCTGAAGCCAGTACTTTGAAGAGTTAATGAATACTGGCGCGATCAAACTGGCCCACAAGAATGACCAGATGAAGAGTAGAAAAGGAAACTATTACATAGCCAGTACATTTTTTTAAAAGAAACTATCAAGCAAAGCAGATAACAGCATGCATACAAAGCCAGAATGGAGAAGGTAGCAACAGAGAGCAGACACCCTCTGCAAAGAAGATAAGAAACAGTGGCTAGCTACTGCAAGAAAATCACACCGGCTGATTACAAACAATGACAAACTAGCAACAATGGTGTATTGGAAGATCTGAGAGAAATACGATTTGCCTGAAAATGAGAACTGCTGAAAACCGACAAATAGAAAATGAAGAACTAAAATGCTCTGAGACTTTAGAATTCAAATAGACAAGCATCTGCCACAACACCCCAGACTTAACAATTGTCTCTAAGAAAGAACTAAAAGTCCACAACTGTAGATGATGGATTCTGCTGTACTTGGAGAAAGAAAAATAGAAGAAAAATAACTGAAGAAAAAGCACAAAGGAGAAAGACATGCAAATGGACAGAAAACTTAAGACAAGGCAGAAAAACAATAATTGCACTTAAAATAAACCAGGTGAGGGAGAAGGAATAAAGAGGAAGAAAGGGGTATAAATCTCTCGTGTCAAAGGCTTGGGCAAAGAACTAGGTCTTTAGGGCTCTTTGTAATACCAGTAGGGAGATGTTCAATTTGGGAGGGGCTTCTTTCCAGAGGGAAGGTGTTGCTAAAGAGAAGGCAGGCTTTCAGGGGTCCAAAAGACAGCATTGTTTAACCAATGGAACCCAGAGTATGCCAACTCTGCTACACTGAACCAGCTATACAGATACTATGGGAATCAGGCATATTTACTTTATTTTTATTGAGTACTCTTAGTATTTAAAGTATATTTTATTGTTTATTTTTGCTTTCCTCATTGTCTACCTCCATTCTTGGATAAAAGGTTATGTTACTTTTGTTCTTGTTTGAGCAAGAGATTCATTTTCAGAAGGAAGTCTCTTTTCTCGTATAAATTCTTGTCGGCACTAATAATTGGCAATCCCTCAGACTGAGTAGTATCTCTCCTGACCTACACAAGAGATATTATTTTCTTTATGATTCTTTCTTTTTGAATAAAGTCAGATATGACTGATCTTTTGTAACACAAAGGCATTGTTTGTCATCTTTTAAGATATTAATCTTTCCTTGGCTTTGAAAATCAGTCCTGAATAAAGTATAAAGAACAATGTTTGTTTGAGTTAAAGAACAAATACAGCAATCCTTTTCCAAAGAACTGAATATAATATAACATACAGACTTTAACTGATGAAACATTTCTAATATGAAAATGTATGGCTTCAGATACTTTGGTGTTTTAATACTAACATCTTTTTTTTTTCATTATGCTATAACATCCAGCACAGGAAAAGAAAAAGAGAAAAAAAACAACCCCTTTCATCCAGTGGTGGGTTTCAAAGTGGTTTACCACCAGTTCGGTGGGCGTGTCTTTGTGTGCATGCACACACTTTGCGCATGTGTGTGTGCCAAACACATGTTTGCATACGCGCAGAGGCTTTTCGACTTACGTCCTGCAATCCTGCAAGCTCCCTGTGTCTTCAACAGCTGACGCGCTGCAATCTCCTGTGCCACACAAAGCAGCTGCGCTTCAAAAGCAGGAAATAATGGACAGTATGGGAGCCCAACAGGCAGGTGGGCCCAACAGCAGATTGTCTGAGAGAACTGGTTCGGTCTCAGCTGATCTTTGGCGCTACTAGCTTGGCAGAACCGGGCAGAACCGGTAGCATCCCACCTCTGCTTTAATCCATAGCACCTTTCAGAAAATAGATTTTTAATGTAAGGGAAGTATGTCCACACATCATACATTAGAATTCTTTATTTCGGTATACAATTATTTATAAGGCCTTCCAGCATATAGAGCTCTTAAGATCAAGGCAATAACCAATTACCAAAAGTTGATAGGAAGACCTAGAACAAGTTATGTAGGCATCTTTATTTCACTCAGCTGGTTTCATGAAGAATAATAGAATAACAGAGTTGGAAGGGACTTTGGAGGTCTTCTAGTCCAGTGGTTGCCAACCAGTGGGCCGGGGACCACTGGTGGTCTGCAAGAAAATTTTGGTGGTCCACAGAGAAATGTCATCCCCAAAGCACCCCCCAAAGCACTCCCCAAAGCAATTAATCCAGGCTGCGCAGGAACACAAAGTTGCGCCGCCCACATGGCCCATAGGAACACAAGGCTTGCATCGCTTGCATTAAGAACAACACAAAATAGTAAGGGCAGGGAGGAAAGAGCAGAGGGGGGTAACTTGCACCACGTACCCCAGGTGCCTCGCCTGGCCATCGGGCTGCTTCTTTCCACTTCTTTCTTCTGCTTTTGGCTGCACGCAAGGAAAGCAGCAAAAGTCTTTCTTTCTCTCCCCCAAATTCCATCAGAAATGAGTCTTTGGGACCCTGCAAGGCATTCTGCTCCAAGAGGCTGCACCAGTGCAACAAGTCTCACAAAGACTCATTTCTGGCGGAGTTTGGGGGAGAGAAAGAAAGACTTCTGCTGCTTCTGCTGCTTTCCTTGCATAAAGCCAAAAGTATCTCTCTCTCTCTCTCTCTCTCTCTCTCTCTCTCTCTCTCTCTCTCTCTCTCTCTCTCTCTCTCTCTCTCTCTCTCTCTCTTTCTCTCTCTCTCCCCCTCCCCACGAGAACAGAGCTGGAGATGGTATCCTGCAGTCCTAAATAAAGAATGATCAATCAGTAGGAAAGTGGGGTGGGGAATTTTCCTGCAGACTTTTTTGGGGTCTCTGGTCCATGGGATTTAAAATTATGAGTTTGGTGGTCCCTGAAATCCAAAAGGTTGGTGAACCTTATTCTAATCCAACCCCCTACTTAGGCAGTAAACTCTACATCACTTCAGACAAATGGTTATCCAACATCTTTTTAAAAACTTCCAGTGTTGGAGCATTCACAACTTCTGGAGGCAAGTTGTTCCACTGATTGTTTCTAATTGTTCTAACTGTCAGGAAATTTCTTCTTAGTTCTAAGTTGCTTCTCTCCTTGATTAGTTTCCACCCATTGCTTCTTGTCCTGCCCTCAGGTGCTTTGGAGAATAGCTTGACTCCCTCTTCTTTGGGGTAGCCCCTGAGATATTGGAACACCGCTATCCTGTCTCCCCGAGTCCTTCTTTTCATTAAACTAGACATACCCAGTTCCTGCAACTGTTCTTCATGTTTTAGCCCCCAGTCCCCTAATCATCTTTGTTGCTCTTCTCTGCACTCTTTCTAGAATCTCAACATCTTTTGGACAAATGGTTCTCTTCTTAAAAACCTCCAGTGTTGGAGCACCCACAACTTCTGGAGCCAAGTCATCCCACTGATTAATTTTTCTTTTATTAGGACATTTCTCCTTAGTTCTAAGTTGCTTCTCTCCTTGATTAGTTTCCATCCAGTGCTTCTTGTCCTTCCCTCAGGTGCTTTGAAAAAATAGGTTGACTCCCTCTTCTTTGTGGCAGCCCCTTAGATAATGGAACACTGCTATCATGTCAACCTGGGTCTTCTTTTCATTAAACCAGACATAGCCAATTCCTGCAACCATTCTGGGAAAATGAAGGGGTTCAGGGCAGGAAGTGAGCTGTGCCAGAAGATACTAACTAGAAGCCTTGGCAGAATGTTATAAAAGAGCAAAGTAGTGGCACAAAGAATAAGAAATTGACCTATTTGAAAACCCAAAAGAATGCCTTATGTACTAACTGTATAGGTATTTCCAGCTGAGAGATTGCCAAATGACATGCCAGAGGAACTTGAACATTTAAAAACTGAAATAAATGCCATGGAAGAACATTTACCTAAGAAAGGTCTCTTGTGAAGATAAAAAATCCTGGCATCTATGGAGATAAGTAAATTGAGACATATTAAAGAATAGGTTTCAGATAAGTCTACACAGAATACAATGGTCCCATTCAGTTTAAGATCTGTAGAAGAATATTTTTTTTCTTTTTCATTGCTCAACTAGTGATATTAGCATTTGTAACTCAGTAATTATAGGACCAAATTACAATGCTTATTTTATCAGGCCACTCCATTTTGAAGATTAAGGGATTTGTGTGTGCTTGAATTTGAGTTCAGCCCTTTATTTATAGAAGGCAAGGAGAGGCCAGGATATATTTTTAATTATAACTTCACAAAGTAAAAACAACTAATGTGATTATTTTCATAGTAGTGAATAACTTCCTCTACCATATTAAAAATATTAAGTGATTGGCAAGGCTTGAGAGGATCCATGGGGCCTTAAATTATTGCACCTTTTGAGTATGGGCAAAGTTTGTATCAGTCTGTAAACTCCTGCAATATCTATTACAGTGTGCAAAAATGATAATAGGTTCTACAGTACAGAAGGGATTCTATGGTTCCATTCTTATTTAGCTGATAAACAATTGTTGGGCTTGCCAAAAGCAAATATAATTTAAGCAGCCTTTGTTAATTAGCAAAATTGCAGAACATCACATAATATGACAAAAAAATTACATTGATGCAGAATGGTCAGTTCCTTAGGAGTAAGACCCACTAACTCATCAACCCATCAAACTCATTAACCCATCAAACTAGGAAGTTTTATACAGTAGATGATAATGAGCACCTGGAATTGTACCTAATTCAAGGTTACAGCTTGGATTCTTCTGAAATGGGTGTAGTAAAACCTTTATCATATACACAGTGATTGTATCTATGTAGATATTAAGAGTGTTTGTGATTATATTATTAGAAAACAATTTATTTCTGCATAAAGAGTATCAGCTCAGCATTCCAGCTTAAGAAATATCAAATATCCTAGGAGCAATTTTGCTAGTATATGACTAGAAAGGGAATAATGTTAATTGTAAACCAGCATCAATCTTGTTTCAGCCCATCAAATCTGAATGAGTTGCCAAAGGACTGTTGCAACAATGGTGGTGACAAAATAATTGCCAACATCTTGATGCATACATTAAGATAGTGAATGTATTTTTCACTAGCAATGGAGCATAAGCATAAGCTTTAAGAGTCTGAATTCACCAAGCCTTAAGACATTTTCTGAGGTTTTTGGCAAAGATCAGCCCAGCCACCATACATATGTATGCATATTCACGGAACCTGAAGAACCATGGGGGGGTGGTGACAAAAACATCATTGCACTGAAATGCAACTTTCACCCCTTTTGTATGCATGCCATGATGTTGCACACACATACAAAGGGGTGGAATTTACAGCACGATGCCTCTTTTGTTATTTGGATTTTGTGGACATCTCTGACAGAAAATTCTTCAGCTAGTCACAATGAAGCTAAAGTGATGATCATGATCTCACAGCACAAGCTTCACCCTTTGTGAACTTGCAGATAACATGATAACATGAGCGCAAAAGGAATAGAGTTTGCATTGTATTGTGGCAAAACACATTTTGTCACTTGTCCCCTTCTGCAGAAGTCTGACAGGGATGAAGGGAGAGGGATGATGGCATATACATGGCAATTAGAATACCCAAATTCCACATCTCAAGTACTTGTGTCAGATTCAAGATGTAAGCCCTTATGGTACCATTTGCACAATGAAGACATTGCTCATGTGCCATTATTTGGGCATCTCTGTGGTTTGCTGTACACTCTCATCTTCATTTTCTGTATCTATCATTTGTTCTTATGCTTTGTTCTTTCTTAGTCGTAATATTGCCTGGATAATAATGCTATTTATATTTCTATTAGCTTTTCAGAATGTACCTTATACTTTTGAGGATATTAGTGGCTGATAGTTCCACTAATCTCCATTAGTTATTTTGGTGGTCAGCAATCCCTTTTATGGCATTAGCAGTCTTCAAACCAGCAAGAGAAGTGGGAATCTTCAAAAAAAATGGTCATACATTTCATAGTATAATAGTAAGATGGTTCTGATAATGTGCATAGGCATTCATAGGCAATGATAAAGTGATCCTGGAAGAGTTGGATCCTGAGCTTGATCACCAGCACACAAAAACAATCATTACTAAGGGAAATAATTTAAGATAAGTATTTATATGCTGAATTGTGCAAAATGGCTAATTAGACTTACTTCCCCCTTTTGTAGTACGCTGAGACTGGGAGCTGCATAAAAGTAACCCCTCAGGAATAGCCGGGGGTTCAGAATTTGCCATGCTAATGCTCTGAACCTTTTGCGCAAATAAACCTGTATTCTCCTACCCTTCGTGGTCTTGTATCCTGATTTGGAAACAGGATC